GGAGCCAGGCGTCCTCCCTGGCTCAGGGTGTGTAGCTGCCCACGTACGCTGGGGAGCCCAGCTCCCTGCCGTCACTTGTGTGGGGCTTGAGTCCTTGTGGCTCAAGCCATGGGTTCATCCAAAATATTGCTGCTTTCCGTGGGTTTCTGTTGCTGGGCTCTGCAAACTGCCACAGTTTGCCATGCTGGGGACCTCCAGCCCTTTTTGGGGACTTCCAACCCTTGCTGGGGACCCTTGCTTGCCAGTCCCTCTCTTCCACAGAGGGGAAGAGTCTTGGCTCTTCTGCTGTTGCCTACAAGCCGGATCAGCTGCCCCCAGAAAACTCCTCCTTTCTGGAAAGGAGCTTCGTGTGTCGCTTTCGCTGCCTCCTGGATAATTCCTCTGGATTCCTGGTGAGTTCCTGTGCTGCAACCTCCACAGCAGGAGAAGAATCACTCCAAGGCATCCCTGCCACTGCTGGAAGCATAAAAGTTGGCTTTGAAAGACCCAGTGCTCCTTTCTGCTATGTGCAGCACCTGCCTGTCTCAACAGGCAGATGTTTCTGCTGTTTTCGATAGGTTTGGTCTGTACCTACAACTTCTTGGTGCGGATTTTGTTTCTCTCCTCTCAGACATGCTGAATCTTGAACAAAAGTGTTTTTCCTCCACGTTTTGCTAGGTTTTGGTGTTAAAGGCATGTCTTATGACCAAGTAGGCGGTGCCCACTCTTTTTCCTCTCTTCTGCAAGTTAATGGGATTTTTTTCTTTTGTAACCACAGGTGTAACAACCCTGTCTCTCCCTCTCCTCCTGCTTTAATCTGGGAATTCAACTTGAGGAGTCCTTACTGTCCCTTGTTTAGGAGCAATACTACGAGCTCTGATGGGGCTGTGATATAGCTCAGTTCAAAGCAGGTCGTGCACTGCGCGATGCCCAGGTGCAACTGCAGCACGTGCTGTGAGTCTGAGCCCAGGGATGGCAGTGAGAGGCTGCCGGGGGAGAAAGCAGTGGGTTGCTGCTGCAGAGAGCTCAGCGTAGCATCCTTTTGATCCTCTGCCTTATTTTAGCAGGGAGCACTGGAGCTGCAAGAGAGAAGCCACAAGGGATTATCTGTGTCAGCTCCGCAGAGAGATGGCTTGCTTTCCATGCAGCTCTCCTTGCTCTGCGTCCACTTTTCTGTGTGACGCTGAACTTTTCTTTCTTCTCTTCCCAGGCCTTAAACCTTCAAGGCAGGCTAAAATTCCTTCATGGGCAGAACAAAAAGTCTGAAGACGGGTCTGCACTGCCACCCCAGCTTGCCCTCTTCGCTATCTCCACCCCCTTGCAGCCCCCGTCCATCCTGCAGATCCGAACCAAGAATATGATCTTCAGGACAAAGCACAAGCTGGACTTCACCCCGTTGGCGTGTGATGCCAAGTAAGCAGCAGACCTTACCTGAGGGGTGATTCTGCAGGCTTCCAGCATGCCATTCCATAACCTGCCTGGGTGATGTCCCTCAAGGGCTCTGCCTCTCATCGGGGTGCATTTTTGGTCTCCCACAGGGGGAAGATCGTTTTGGGCTACACCGAGGCAGAACTGCGGATGCGTGGCACCGGCTACCAGTTCGTCCATGCTGCTGACATGCTGTACTGTGCTGAGAACCACGTCAGAAGTAAGAGTCCCTTCCCTGGTTGCTTGTGCCCGCCTCTGAGGCTGATGAGTGGGCTGGGACTACGGGCAGCAACCCTGGGCGCTGTGTTGCGCCTGGGCAGCTCTTTCCCCACGGGATACTTTGCTTTATGCTTTGCTCGGATGCTTTTGTCACTGCAGGGAGCTTGGGGTGGAGCGTAGTGAGGGGTATTTAGCTGAGAAGGTGTCCCTTGCATATGCCATCCGTGCTACTGCTGTGATCCCACCTGCTTATCCCAGCTGGAAACAGCAGTGTTGCTGGAGGCAGCTGTGCCTTTGGTGATGTGCCGGTAGCCCTTGGCTCACGGTGATGAAGACGGGCGAGAGCGGCCTGACGGTTTTCCGCCTGCTGACAAAGGAGAATCGCTGGAAGTGGGTTCAGGCCAACGCACGGCTCGTCTACAAGAACGGCAAGCCCGAGTACATCATTGTCACGCAGAGACCCCTTGTGTAAGTGCCATCCGGGTCAGCCCAGGCTGGGATGGAGACAGGCTGGCTTTTTCCATTGGCGCAGACTCTGGGATGCCCCAAGCAGGGCAGGGTGTTTGATTCATTATTGCTTCTTGTGCCTTTTAAAGGAGCAGCCATAGAATACGGTGTTTTGATGCTGTACAGCCACATCCCCCTCTGCAAGGCCACCGCGCAAGTACAGGGGAGTGCTGAGCCATGCCCCGTACCTCCCATCCCCGCTCCAGTATCCCAGGCACCGCAGGAGGCTAGTGGCTGGTGTGGAGCAGCCGAGAG